AGAGGAGGAGTGGACGGTTTGGAGATATTTAAATAGACCGTGCACTGGCCTGGGTAGAACTAAAGATCAAATGGAAAATTGGGGGTTTCTTCCTGAGGACAAGGATATTTACTGTGAATGTGGTGCTACTCAAACAACTATCCATCTTTTACAGTGCCCTTTGGGACTGACATGCACACAGAATGACTTGCTGGTCAGAAATATCTTTCCATTAACGTGGCCCGGCACTGGGCAAGAATTATATAAATCTATATTTTTATTAAAGTTTTTTCAATTTTTAAAATTTAGATTAATAATTGTCTCCTTTCTAGTTCCTGCATTTCTGACACGAGACAAGACGAGACCACTAGGTTATATATCACAGTTTGCAAAGAATAGCTGGGTTCCAGAATTAGGCCAAGCTCTAATGTGCTCTGCTTACTTTTGGCTTTATGAACCAAGCCAGTGAGATATAAACACCGTTCAACTGCTTACCTCCATAAATTCTCAGTAAGTGCAGGGGAAGCCATGTGCCTTGAGCACATCTCCAGCGTCCCCATCCACACAGCTGTAGATAGACATTCACTGTCAAGTTTGAACATGGCTAAGCAAAGCTTGGATTCTCCACTTAGTGGGTATTCCCACTACCATCCACTTCGAGGATTCCAGGCATGTTCAGTGAGACATGGAAAGCTCTTCCTTCAAGCCTTTGGTTTACCATATAAAGGCCTAAGGCTGCAGTTGCTGTGGGTAGACAGTCAAGGCTTGCATTTCCCTCATTCATTCTCTGTAAAGGCCCAAGAAAAGCTTTACTGCCATAGCAGGTGGCAGCACATGCCGGATCCTGAATGGTTATTGGATAGGAGGCATCAGGAAATCCCAAGCTTGTCAGATACTGGGACTGGGGGAGGGGGGAATCCCAGATGAAGGAAAGAGTCAACCATTCCCATTGTGTTGCTAAGAAAACGAAATAGATGCATTTGGGAAATTCTCAGGAGCTGAGCAACATTCAAGGGAGGGCTTTATTCCTAAACAAAAGCACTTAGCACAATCTTACTGAATTACATGACTTAACATATCAGCCTTGCAATAAAACTGCCAAATTCTGCAGGCACAAGTTTCAGGGTTGAGGCAAGTTAATGGGAATTGAGAAATCTGTTTTCCTGCCACTAATTCGTGATCAACAGGTTCTCTCCCTACCACCTTTTCTTTCTTTCAGAAGACAGAGAGAAGCTTCCTTTTGAAGAGATCCAGGCTGGGGCGGGGAGGAGGAGGAGGGATGAAGGGACCTGAATGCTCCCAAAGCCCATGCACATTCCTTCTTGAAGTTCTAGACTTTACTCTCAGATCCTCAAGCACTGGCTCTGGGTGTGGGGCAGGGGGAGAAGAGAAAGCTCCTAGCTGCTGGAATCAAATTGTTATTGCTGTGATATTTCTAAGTCTTTTTGGTTATGGGATTTCATTTCTGAATCGGTAAGTCCAGAGGCATGAAATGGCAGCTGGCTTAAAACACTTTTTAGAAGCTTTAGGTCAATGCACGGAAAATAAGCCTATGTGTTAGCTAAGCGAAGCCTTCTTCCAAAGCAGCATGTCCCTGAAGACCAGCTGCCAGGGATACGCATCCTGCTTGAGTGCTTCAAGGAAGCACCCGCTAGAAGCAGAAGGCAAGGTGAAGAAGGCATCTGCCCAGCCTCATCTCTAAGTTCTTTCTACAATCTAAGAAACAGAACATGTCTTCTGTCTGTCGGTAGCTAATTACATAAATCTGCTGTTCCAACAAAATTAGGTGCTAACTGGCAATAGCTGGATGTAAACTTCCTGTAATTTTGCATACTTCTATCATGTAATTCATTGATGAATAGGGAAGGGAAGAAGAGGAAGTGGGGGTGAGAAAATAGCTTATGATGCAACTGATATTCAGAGACAGCCCTTCTTTGAATGTTTTACTATGAAAATCACAGAGGAGTCTTCCCTAGAGGAAGGGATAGCATTGGGGAAACTGGAGCACCAGAACAGCTTTAGGCAAATGAAGACGAGGAAACTTGTTACGTATTGGTGATATTCCTGGGAGGGAAAAACCTTGCTGAGTCCCAAAACTGCTGACTCTAGTAGATGGCACGACATAATGTTTTCAACAAAAATGACAGGTTAAAAAAACAAAAACAAAAAACCCTTACAGATCTTCCAGTGAGCAAGTTGTAAAACATGTTTCAGCCATAATTCACAGTGATTAAGCAAGTGTCTCTGAAGACTGAAGAGAGATTTGAGATGGAGAAGGGATGAGATAGAAGATTCTTGCTGACTCTGATACAACCATTGCATAATTTTTTGTATATCACTGGAGTCAAGAGTAAATATTTTAACCTGTTCCTTCCTTTTATGAGCTGCAGTTTCCTCCTCTAGCATGTTTTAAAATTCAGAGAACAATCATGCAACCGGATGCTTTTGCAAAGAACCTCTTCTTCCCTTCCTTCCTGGTTCTTTCTACACTGGCTTTCTAGTTCCTCTAGAGTCAGTTCTGGTTGCTAAAATATCAAGAAATGCAGGAATTATGTAAAAAATATGTGGTATTTCCAGCTTTCTTCAGGTCTTAATTTAAGCCATTTTTAAACCATTTTTGGCAGTCCTTGATGCATACTTTAGTAACCGAGTGCACATATGCTTATATTCTAACAATCTATTTTCAAGATTACTCACTGACTTTATGGCAAAAAAGTACTTCAGTATTTGAGTTATTATCTATTCTTTTACCCCATAGACCTGTTCCACTGTATATCCAACTGCACAGCTCCAACCCATCTCTCTTCCATTGATCTTCTGGTACAACCTTTCCCAACTTGGGCACCCTCCAGAGGTACAGACTTCAACTCCCAGTATTTGCCTACAAGCATGACAACCACTAAGATTTCTGGAAATTGAAGTTCACAGATTTGGGTAATGACAAGGATAGGGAAGGCTGATCTAATACCTCAGAAACTCCATCAGCCAGCTGAACCAACTGTGTCTTGTTACCTTCTGGGAGACCCAAAGAAAAAGAGATAATGTTACACTCATACATGTCTTTAATCCAAAAATGCTAAACCTGGGGCTTAATCAATCCCAGTGATTTACTTGTCTAGGGTCCCAGTTACACATTAACATTTCAAAAACAAGTAGAACCTCAAATCAGAATTGGGCAAGCATGCTATGCTCTCTCTTAGAATTTAAATACAGTCCCAGAAGAGGAGTTTTTCAGTAGATTAATTAAAATGTTGGATGCAGGGATTCAAAGAATTAAGATTTTGGATGAAGGGTTCCCTCTGGGGGTACAAATCTGTTATAGGGAATTTCAGAACTGTAGTTATTAGAAAAAATGGATTTTGTCCCTCCTATTAGCCCTACTAGTTCAAATGTGAAAGATGAAGCATTCTGCTACCAGATGTCCATGCATAATGTCATTCTGACATCAAATAAATTTTTGCAGAGTAGTTTCTGCATAACTATTTCCTTGGAAGGGGATGTTTTGTAAACCATGGATTACTTGGAGCCTTTCAACTACAACAATAACTCTGTCTGTGGATGCTTAAATCCATTTAGCAATTTTCATCAAGCAATTACTTCTTCTTTGCTTGAGCATTTGACTTATCTCTTTAAAACATGGGCAGAATATGAGGCTACCCCTTTCCTTTGGAGAAGCACCACAACAATTACCCAGCAGAAAAACAATGTTCCTCACCAAAGGATTGTACTGATGTAGCATCGATGGCACAGAAACTTCTCTCATACCAGCACAATGCTATGAGGCAACTGCCCCATTAATGGCAATATTTAATGTCAACCATTTGTAAAGTGCCCAGGTTTTATTAACCCTAGTTAAAAAAAAAAAGTGTGTGTGAGTGTACATGTTTGTCTCTCTCAGAGGTGAACATTTTTTCTTGAGCTGAGGGCTCCGCTGGCCTTTAAATATTATGGCAAGAGTATTATATTCCAAGGAGGTAGAACTAAGACAACTTTTTAAAAAATGTAGTTCAAAAGTAAAACTACATCAATTAATTCTAGTTTATAAAATCCCTCCTCATGAGTTTAATAATTTTCCACCCATCATTTTAACATTCAAATTGGATGACAATTCTGGAGGTCTTACCCAAACTTTCAAGGACCCAATGAAGTCCCGGAACTTCAGGAAGTTCACCTCTGAGATGGTGTGTGTATTCATCCCTAATTTTAACCCACATGCTCATTTCCCACAGAGTTCTTTAACTAGCAAAACAAACAAACAAACAAACAAATAAGTAATTGGCGTACTCATTTCTCCTTTTTTAAAAAGTCAGTCAAAACTTTGCACTCATCTATAGAAATACAAAGCCCATTAAATTCAGGAAAAGTTCTACAGGGTACATTCTAGGCTGTGACCTTCACTTATTAAACTTGTATCAACGCACACTTCGAGATATGCCTTTGCTTTTTGAGAAGCTGTATATGGTATGACTTAAACAGAAAGGAATGCCATTCCAAACATTCCTGTACAAATTAAACCAGCATTTCTTTTACTTTTCAAACTTGCCCCTTTCTAAACGTAATACTACAAATGCTACTGAAAAAGACTAAAAACAAAATTCTATCCTCCTAAAACAGCTAATCAATTAAAAAAAAAAGGCATTTGCTGCTGTGCTGAGACACTTCCCACTAATTCCATAGTTAAAGTAACAATTTGAGTGGCTCTGAAACTAATCCTCTCTCCTTGCGGAGTGGGGGGGTGGGAAGAGCACTTGGCTGGCTCCATCTGCAACAGGGATCTTCTTCCTCCACCATTTCATACATTTCTTCTCCCCAACACACACACACACACAAGGGTTGGGGTACCCTACTATTTGAGATCTTCCATCCAAACAACGCTTTCCCACTCCTTGAAACTATGAGACAAAAGAATATTAAGAAAAAAATATTTAAAAAAACAGCAGATATCCCAACTCAACCAATCACTACTAAATTTTGAAGGCAGATTTTCGCTTCACTATTAATTTAAAAGACTTTGATGCTACAACAAAAAGCAGAGCAAAGCAAAGAGTTTTTATTCACTCTCTATTCATAAACAGAAATCATCCCGTCTCATTAAACCTGACTAATGTTAGCTTTGTTCCGATTCCCCTGGGAAGAGGGGTGGGTGGGGAAATATGTCTCCCAAGTGGCGGTTCTTGGTTTACAGAACATGAGACGCCGATGCCCGGCTCCAGAATGTGAACTCAGCAAAGAAAAAAAGGCAAACTGAAAACCTGGGTGACGTCACCTACTTGCCCTGGATCATCCTCAGAGGCAACGGCCGTCTGCAAGAGCTGGTGAGTGTGAGAGCTTCCTAAATCAGCCTGTGCCACTAACTCCTGCACAAAATTGAACACCCTCGTTACATGAGAACAAAAGAGCTCATGGCAACAGCTGATTCCTCCTGTGGTTCCCATTTAATGGCTTCATACTCTCTCCTCCAGCTTCTGCATACAAAAACCTAGATAGGAATGTAATAACTGGGACAGACATTGCCCTGGATCAATCCTCACAAACCCAGCAATGTTAGGAACAGTTGAGGTCCTTTAAAAGAAAAAAAAAAAAAGCTGTCATGTGGGTATTCTAAGTTTTATTCTGGCCAGAAGTATTCAGAGCCAAATACAGTATCCTTTGCTATACCAGGGTGCCTGACAATGAAAAGCCTCCTGCGGGTATCCTGAAAATATGCCTAATTATGACAAACTACTCCCCCTGAAAAAAGAACCTTGCCCTCCCCTCCCAAAAGCAATGTGTGAATATATATTGTACATAACCCAATATATGTTTGTTTTCCTCTCTAGCTTGCCCATGGCACGGCCTCTCCTGTTTCTAACACTGATAGACAGGAGCAGCCTTCTATTTTAGACCAAATCAACCACACACCCCAAAAATGCACTTCTAAAAGGACAGGGGCACAAGGATTGATTGGACGCCTATCCCCATGGCAAACTGAGGCCCAATTTCCGTTAGACCTAAGATTCAATGGATGTGCCATATTCCTATGAGCCGAATTACTACATTCTGACCTAAGTGTATGTTATTATGTACAGGGTTCGTTTTCTTCCCCGGTTTCAGACTCCACTGATTTATGACATTTGTATTTATAAATCTGCCCAGCACTGATGAACTTTCATGGATAAGTAAAGCCTTTCTTGCCAATAAAAATAAACCTCACCATCCCCCATTTTCCTTCCTGGATTCATACGCTCCTCCATACAAAGTTCTGAGTTTCATTTCTCCCTCCCTCTCTTCTTTCTCTAAAGTTCAAAGCTATTTGCAACAATTCACAAAGTTTCGTTAAAGAGTTATCTGACAAAAGAGCACCTGTATCTGAATATCAACATTGTTTTGAGTTCCAACCCCTCCGTTTAAAGTTGACCTTTAATGAAAAGCAGTTCCATAACTGAGGGATGGCAAACATAAATAATCACCTACCAATTTGTCCTCACCTTTCTTGCTGGCTAGTTTTGAAATAGCTGAGAAGAAATCTCAGTGTTACTCTGCTGTTTATCATTTTCTCCACTTAAACTAAGCACACAGCTACCAGATGCTCTTCCCTGTGACAAGAGCACATTTAGCACCTCACGGAGCCTTTTGGTATCTACGGCCCTTCCAAAAACAGCGTCAGAAGGCAGAGCTGGTGGCTTTCCAGTGGTGCAAACAAGAAGCCAGACACCAGGGCCCTCTCCCAGGAGTAGAAATCTTCACCTGACTGCCGATCAAGCAAGTAAGAATCAACTTGCATTCTCTATTTGGTGCCACCTATGCAGATTGCTAACAAAAATAAAATGTACCTGGGCCCCAGGCTTTGCCCCAAGGCCCTTATCAACAGGGCCTCGTACAGCCTTTATTCAGGGGTCTTGGCCAGCAAAGAATGCAGAAACCACTGCCTATTAGTTTTACAGGGGAGAGCCGGAGTATTAGGAAACTGGCTGGCTGCGTAGATGTACTTCGGCAGGCCCTGCTAAGAGGCCCTGGCTTAATTTGCATCTTGTTTGTTCACCAGAGGCTTCCATATCCAAGCTTCTCTGGATGGCTGCCACCAAAGCCTCCATTTCCCTGAAAAGAGACAACTCAAAAAAAAAAAAAAAGAGGGGGAGGGCAAATGGAGAGCAGGCAACCAAACTGTTCCAGGCACTGAGAAGAAGAAGCAGGTGGGGGTGGGGGAATACGATCAAGCATTTCATTAAATGCGGCAATTCAATTTTATGCATGACTGTTTACTCCAAAGCAAATCCTTAACACCAGCTATTTTCTCCTCTCTTCAGCCTCTTAATCTTACTTGTATTTACTAAGGACCTATTGCTTTGTGGATCTTCCTTCCAAGTAATTATGCACAGGATTACTGCTTTCTCCAAATCAGTCCCTTTCACTTTTCTTAACCCCTACTGCATCTACTCCTATATTCAATTTCGAGTTCTTGGCAAAGCAGGCTTACAGGACTTTCCAACCCTCCTCCCCCCTCCCCTTCATTCTGTATAGACCCATTTCAGAGAATTTAATGGATGTCCCTTCTTTTGGAACATCTGAAATCCAGAACCCATCACAAAACACATCAACCTCTACAGCACAGCAGATCATCAAATTTTTGATCTGTCAAACTTTTATCAAGACCAGTGACAAAATAATGGGATGTTATTGATTAGATTATTTATTTGTAATTACTATTAACAAATCACCATCAGTGCAAAGGAGTAGGAAGATTCAGAAGTGGGGGGGGGAGAAAATCTGGGCTCATAATAGCTACACTGGGTGGGAGACCCTGCCCAGAAATAAGAATACAGTGTGGAAATAGAAGTCCATTTCTCATTCCCCCTCACCCGCCATCAGAAAGCAGGTTTGTCCAATCCCCAGAAGCAGTCTGCCCTAACCTGACATCCTGCTAGGGCGTAGGACTGCAACTCCCATGATTGGCTAACCATCTGGAAGGCAGCAGTTTGGGAAAAGCTGCCCAAATGCATCTGGGACAACTTTGCATATTTAGCTGCATGTAAATCTGCAGGGCTGCTGGAAAAGAATCTGCTCCTACACTCATCTACCTGGGGAGAGGGGAGGTAGCTCCACTGAATCTATGAGATTTGCCCCCGGAGAGCAATTAGAGACACCCAGCAGAGGACAAGTTGTCCAGGCTCCCCACCCCCGCGTTGCTTCTCCTGGAGACCCCTTCTGTCAAGAGCAGGAGGGGAGGGGGAGTCGTTTGGCCAATAGCGAAGCAGGAAAATCTGGTTAGCCAACACCAGCTGAATAAACACGAGCACAAACGAAGGAGGGTAGGAGAAAAGCAACATAAATAGGTGGCAACATTGAAATGCCATGTTTCCCGTCCAATCCTATGCGCACCTCGAAAGAGGAAAGCGATTTTTTAAAGATACTGCACGGAAGATACAAGTCTCGAAGTCTTGGCGAACGGGCATTTCGCCGTCCGCCAAATCGAACGGATGAAATGGTGGACTCAAACTACTCCAGAGGAAGCCTGTCGGTAGCCCCGTTTCCTCGCTGTAGTAAATGTGATCCGGACCGTCAACCTCAAACGCCCCTGTACTACTATGACTAGATTCCCTGGAATATTCTAAGCATGGAAAGTCATCGTGCCCAGAATAGGGACGTGCCGTCCCCGACGCTCTCGGTCCTTCAGACGTAGCGGTGTGTGTGTGTACTGAAATGTAATAGCTTTATCCTCGTTTCAGACGACAGGCAGGACCCGGGGTGGCCCAAAATTATTTCAACGTGACTTTTAAGATTTGGCACTTGAAGGGCGGGGACGAAAAACAGCAACAACGCAAGCCACCCTCTTCAGATCCGGAACGACTCAAGAGCAACCTTTGGAAGGGTTTCAAGTGCCTGTTAGTTACGCACGCGCGGAAGAGCGACGGGCGAGGGTAGAGTCGCTGGCGTGAAAAACAAACGCTGGGAGAGTTTCTTCCTTCCTCCTTAGGGGTGCGCGGTCTCCACGCAGGGTCGCCCAAATTCCGCCTTCCTCGGAGCAGGCGGGGTGGGAGAAAGACGCGGGAACGGGCGACCGAGAAAAACAAGCCCCAGGGAGGCGCCGAGGAAAGCCAAGTTCACTTTCCCCCTTCCGCAGGGCCCAGCTGATTTCGACATTCGCGAAGGAGGGCAGGGAGGGGAGACCTCGCGCGGACCTGCCGCTCCCCCCAAATCGAAATGGATGACAGTCGCGAACTCTGCTCTCTACGGAACATCTGTACGGAAAGCGGGGAAGCTTCTGCTAAGAGACGCGCCCCCCCCCCCATTGGGAGGAAAGTGCGTTGAGCAACACGCATCTCCCTCCACCCACGCCAGGACTGGAGAGAGCTCCTCCTTTATTTTTTTGCACAGATAAAGAAGTAGTGAACACGCGCGCGCGCACTCCTTTGCCCAGGCTGTTTTATTGGTTTTTCTCCCCCCCCCCCGACGGGC